TCAGTTAAATGTCTGCCTTCGGCTCAGGTCATGATCCCTGGACCCTGAGATTGAGCCCCTCATTGGGCTCCCTGATCAGCAGGGAGTCTGCTTGTCCCTCTCCTTCTGCCCCTCCCCCCACTCACACGCTAATAAATAAAATCTTTTTAAAAAACCCACTCTCACTTTCACTGGTTGACTTTTCTACTTTTTAATCTCTATTTCATTTATTTCTGCTCTGATCTTTGTTATTTCCTTCATTCTGCTAACTTTGGACTTAGTTTTTTTTTTTATCTACTTCTTGAAGTGTAAGTTAGGGTGTTTACTTGAGATCTTTCTTGTTTCTTAATGTAGGCATTTATTGTTATGAAACTTCTTTTTGCTGCATCCCATACATTTTGGTATGCTCTAATTCCATTTTCATTTGTCTCAAGACATGTTTTTTTCTTTTGATTTTTTGACCCATTGATTGTTTAATCTCCACATTTATGAATTTTCTAATTTTCTCCTTGTAATTGATTTCTAATGTCAAACCATTGTGGTAGAAAGAGTTGCTTAATATGATTTCAGCCTTCTTAAAAATTTTAAGACCTGTTTTGTGTCCTAGCCTATGATCTATTCTGAAGAATATTTTGTGTGTGCTTGATAAGAATATGTATTCTTTGCATGGGATGGAATGTCCTTTTGTAAATATCTGTTAAGTCCATCTAGTTTAATGGGACCTTGAAGTTCAATGTTTTCTTATTGATATTCTGTCTGGATGCTCTATCCATTATTGAGAGTGGGTTACTGAAGTCCTCTATTATTATTGCATTGTTGTCTATTTCTTCCTTCAGGTCTGTTAATATTTGGTTTATATACTTAGGTCCTCCTATGCTGGGCACATGCATATCTACCAGTGTTATATCCACTTGTTGGATTGACCCCTTTATCATTATATAGTGACCTTCTTTGTCTCTTACTATGGTTTTTTCCCTAAAGTGTATTTTGTCTGATATAAGCTTAGTTAACCCTGCTTTCTTTTGGCTTCCATCTGTATGGAATATCTTTTCCATCCTTTCATTTTCAGTCTGTATGTGGTCTTAAAGCTAAACTGAGTCTCCTGTAGGCAGCATATAGTTGGGTCTTACATTTTTATTCATTCATTCAGTCAATGTCATTTGATTGGAGGATTTAGTCCATTTACATTTAAGGTGATTATTGATAGGTATGGACTAACTATTGCCATTTTGTTAATTGTTTTTTGGCTGTTTTTAATTCATTTGTTTGTTTTTTTCTCTTGCTCTTTTCCTCTGTGATTTGGTAATTTTCTGTAGTGGTATGCTTAGATTCCTTTCTCTTTATCTTTTGTGTATTTACTATAGATTTTTGCTTTGTTGGCACCATAGGCTTATGTAAAACATCTTATATTTGTAACAGTCTATTTGAAGCTGATAGGTTTGAATGCATACTATAAAGCTCCACATTTTTACTCCCTCTACCCACATTTTATGTTTTTGATGTTACAATTTACATCTTTTTCTCTTGTGTATCCATTAACAAATTATTGTAATTATAGTTATTTTTACTACTTTTGTCTTTTAATCATCACACTAAGTTTATAAGTGATTTAGTTACCATCATTACAACATTGGAGCTTTCTGAATTTAACCATATACCTACCTTTGCCAGTGAGGTTTATGCTTTCAAATGTTTTTCTGTTACTAGTTAGTGTCCTTTTGTTTCAGCTGTCAAAGCTTCCTTTAACATTTTTGTAAGGCCCGCCTAGCAGTGTTGAACTCCTTCAGCTTTTTCTTTTCTTTTTTAAAGTAGGCTCCACATCTAACATGGGGCTCGAACTCACGACCCTGAGATCAAGAATCGCATGCTCTACTGATTGAGCCAGATGGGCACCCTGAACTCCTTCAGCTTTTGCTTGTCTGGAAAACTCCTCTCTGCTACTAAAACCAAAAGCCAATTCTAATATGCTATAACAACCATCCCTCACAGCTGTATACATTTTGAAACCAAAATCTTATATATATGACAGCAATGTCCTTACCACCTGTATACCTTGCTAGTCTACTAGATAGACGAATGTCAATGTCCTTTGGTATTATCACTAATAGTATTAGTCAGATAATCTTAAACCTCAATTAAGATTATTCCCTTAGTGATCTTAAAATATATGGAGGAAGTTTTAAAGACTATTTTTAGAACAGAAAGCAGATAGAGGTTCTGATATCAGATACTGTGCATAGAAGAAAGGAAAGTCCTACAAATAATTAACAGCAATTCATTTCTCTGTGGAAAAAAGGGCTCTATGACGAAACACTGTGAAGTGATTTATAGCATATTGACTCTAATTCTTCTAATGAAAAAGCAGTTGTCCAAGTTCTCCCTGGAGAACACTCAGCAGCAACAATCCATGCACATGGAAAGTCATGAGTTAGAAAACAAGAACCAAATGAACTCACAGCTGGGAAAAGCCAACAATAATTAATTTAACACCAGCCATTTGTAGAGAACATGTATACATTTCAAAATTTCCCTTGGGAGGAACAGGTCATTGAAGGGCAGAGGCTACATACTTGAACATGTTCAAAGAATGTTTACTTAATAAGATAATATGCTCCAAAGGTTTTACATAAAAAAATAAATAACAACTCATTCTGGACTAGGTTAGGATAAATAGTTGGTAATACCATCACTTGAATTTCAATATTGTAACAAGTGTTTCTGAAAAACATTGCCAAAGTGAGTTCTCGTTGAACTTGAACAATATATTCCTCAACAGCAGCAGCGAGAAAACAGTGTCATTAAAAGGGGCTTTATTCTGACTCACTGGCTAAGAAAATGGGAACAGTTTGAGATCTTCCATGTTGCTTCATTTTAATGAGCGGCGAGAATTTTTCATGTCCTTATTAAAGTAGTTAATGTATTTCTCTAGTCTCATTATCACTGCCAAAGTATACTCTGTTGTTTCATAACCAAGACAACTCCTTTTCATTTCAGAGAAGATCAGAAAGTCAAATCTGATTGCTCACATGTGGTTGTTAATAAAACTCCCACGGTGCTGCTTAAGGTGCCCATGGGGATTGTACAATTATTTATATTTTCTTATGGTTTTCTATAATTACTGTGATTGTATTTTCACAAAGTAAATGTATCTCCACCAATTAAAGCAGTGGTGGGTTAAGAATATTCATCAGACTCGTGTGAAAGGATATTGTTCTTAGGGTTTTGATCAAAGCACAGAAATTAAACTGCTGTTATCATGCATTCAACCCAAGTGTTAAATTAAAATGCTCAGCAACTTTGGAGTCTATTTGAGCAGATGTTAACTATTTATGAAAATAAACATGATACAGGACTTGCATTCATGATATGACTCATTGTTGCATTAAAAGGGCTGGGAAAAAACCTACAACACAAATCATGGGGGATATGGTTTATGGTATATGACTGATTTGAATTACTGTTAATTCAGGTCAATTTAAATTTTCAGAAGCATATAATTCTAATAAATCTCATTTTGCTTCTTTGCTGCTTCTTACTTCGCCTCACCTCTTTGTCTTTTTTGAAGTCTCAAGGACTAAGAAAGAAGCAAGCATCTGAGGCTATCAAATAAAAAACACACAGTATAACCATTCACACTTTCCCATATAGAAATCTCATTCTATCTAGTTCCAAAGTGCTTGCAGCAAAAGTGACCAGCTGTACTTCCATTCCATTAGCTGTCATTTTGACGCTAGAATGTTAGCCTGCTGTGTGTGAGATGTGATGTCCATGTACAATTCCCATCAAAGGTAATTTTCTGTGCAATGGTGTGTAAAATTTACCTCTAATTATGATAAGGTCACTGATGGGTCATTTATGATATGTTCTCTGGAGACAACTGCAGTGAATAGCTTTTGGTGACATTTGTCTGGAGAAATTAAATTGGTCTGACCATGACTCCATAGAAAGTAAAACTTTCTTAGAAAATTATTCCTCAATCATGTTTAAAGCCCTAGAGGAATCGAGAGAGGGGCAGTATGCACACTGGTGAAGGCTGTGGGTTTTGGAATGAGGCAGACCTGAGTTTTAATCTAGAGTCACTGGGCCTAAAAGCCCTACGTGGTCTGGACTTTGCACACCTCATGGCTTCTATTCCTGACATTTGCTCCCTCCCTCCCTGGGCTTCCTGGTCCTTGACTATGCCACAGTCAGTCTCACTTCTGGAGTTTTTGCACTGCAAATTTTCCTGTGGTTGGAATGGTCTTCTTTCAGATCTTCATGTGGTTGGAATTTCCTTTTTCTCCTACATTCTCATCAGTGGAATATATCCTACCCACCATCTGAACTCCCTGACCACAGCCTCCACCTTCTCCCTACCTAAAGTAGCCACCTCTTGATGCCAGTTAATCACTGAACATCACTTAAAGTCCTAATCATGGTCTTAAATTATTTATTTACTGTTTATTATATTTATTTACTGTTTAATGTATAACTAAGCTTGCATTTGACCATAAATCTAAGACGGAAAGGTATCTTGAGCAGGTTATTCCATAATCTTGAAACCCCAACAACGTTATATGGCTTGGTGGTCCGGTATTGCTTGATAAGATGGACTTAAAAGGAGATCTGAGTCAATAAGTTAGGGATGAGAGAACTTCCTCGACTGTATGGAAGACAGCATGAAAAGAGAACTAGTTATGACAAATTTTATTAAAATAGTCATTAGAGTGATTTCACATTTCACCATGACCATGGTGGGCCTCCACGAAGGGACAATGTGTTAGTCACGTTAGTTATTAACACTTTTGGAAGAAGGTTTTTATATGTAACAGTGGGTTATATTTATTTAAATCTATCAGTATTTTGCTTTCAGTCCTCCTTCCCAAGATATCTTACTTGTAGACATAATAATGACTTTTGAAATGGTTCGTATTCAGTAAATATTTGTCAGCAAATGACTAAGTGCTGGATGGACTAGAAGATCATTCTTGTGTTCCAATCCTCAATGCAAATTACAACAACAACAGAGATGAGATTCTTACCAAAGTGTCCAGTCATGGCCACAGTATGGCTGAACATTTCCAAGGTAGAATCCCAGAGACTGAGTGACCTCCACAAGATTGGTAAAGTCAAGGCTAATGCTGTTGAAAAGGACAGATGTCATGATAATCTCATCAATGGCCCATACGTCTTCTCCCTGGGAAGAATGATATGGTTGCCACCATCTGAACTGAATTCCAAACTGTCTTGCATCATCCGGTAACTCTACGGAGATTATTCTAAAGGAAAAAAAAATAAAAGTAAACGTTCTGATTACTTTGATATCTTAAAGTACAAACATTCACAAGAGAATATTTTTTTCCTGTGGTACAGCATTTAAAAAAATAGTTCTCCCACTATTATAAACATTCTTTTGAGATTTCCAATTTCTTGTCTGACTCCAAGTCCTCTAAACACATCCAAAAATATGACTGCTTTCAGGAAAGCTAACTCAATAAAACACAGTTGTCAAAGTGGCAGGATTTGTCCCTTCATCTGAAAAAGGATTGTGGGCACTTTGTTACACATATTACAGTTTGAGTCTTGTTGGAACTGTGGCACTTCCTAATTCCCATGACTTTAGCAGTGTATGAGGTGACTTGCTGTGTCATGGTGGCTCTGACAACAAACCTGTATGTGACAAATGGGGAAGAAAATTAAGAATAATATCTAATTTCCAGGAGCAATTACTGCACACAGCAGCAGGAGACCTACATTAATTGCCACTGCAACATCTGCCTGAAAGCTCCATAAATCACAGTACCATGCTGCTCACATCCATACACAAGGTGAGATATGAAGCAAATGCCAAATGGAACATTTGTCTCCATCAATGCACAATTAAATGCCAGGAGAGGTGTTCGCGGCAAACACACACTAAAGGGACTGAGTCTTTTTCCCAGCGAGCAAAGGAAAGCTCCCTAAGACAGGTGACTAGTTGGATAACTTAGAAACAAATTATTTAAAAAAAAAAAAAGAAATTATTTAAAAACTTCAATGTCTAAGGCTGGATTTAATTAGAAATCAGATTGACTTTCATATTTGTATTATGTTTATTCTTAGTTACTGCATAAAAAATGTCAAGTCACATTTTGGAAATGTAATTTTTTATATACTTAGAGTTATTAAAAATGATACCTATTTTCTCTTTAAATAATTTGTATACGGAAATATGGGATAGAATAACATGATTTTCATCGCTATTAATTATACAAACTACCAGTAAAAGACTGGTAGAATTTTTTGCAATGTGAGAAAACACACTCTTTAAATAATGAAAAATCAATATTCAAATACAGAAATATAAATTTTATTTATTTTTTATTTTTTTAATTTTTTAAAAAGATTTTATTTATTTATTTGACAGAGAGAGACTAAGTGAGAGAGGGAACACAAGCAGGGGGAATGGGAGAGGGAGAAGCAGGCTTCCTGCTGAGCAGGGAGCCCGATGCGGGGGCTTGATCCCAGGACCCTGGGATCATGACCTGAGCCGAAGGCAGATGCTTAATGACTGAGCCACCCAGGTGCCCCCAGAAATATAAATTTTAAAACACTGCTTAAATTAAAATAACATTTACGGTTTTTACTTTTAAATACTTTAAATCTGTTAATTTTTTTACCAATGTGAAATATTAAAAGAGTAAAATTTAGTTAAATTGAGTATTTTAGTAATTTTCACTTTAATTTCTAAGTATTTATTAAATAATCAAATAAGTATATTTATTTGTATTAACATCAAATATGTAAAGAAATAAAACAATTAAACTATATTTAAACTGGCTCAATAATGAAAACATTATGCATTAATTTAATAATTTACTTTGACCATTATGTTACTAGAAAATTATAATTTTCCTTTATATTAATAATTTTAGAAGCAGTTACTATTCTCTCTGATGAAAATAAAGATAATTTAAAAATAACAACTGAAAAGTAGAATTTCTCAGGCAACTTCAAAGGTTATTTTCCTTTATTTAATGCATACACACACACACACACACACACACGTGTGTGTGTGTGTGTGTGTGTGTGTGTGTGTGTGTGGTAATAGTAATTGAAATGACCAATATTTTCCTTGGCAGAGACATTAAGACTGTGGGTCTGTAATCAGACTCTTGGGTTGAAGTCCCCACTCTGATTGATTAATTAGTAGTTAATAAGTTCTATTAGCTAGTAGTTAATATTAACTAGTAGGTAATAAGTTTGCAGCTGCAGGGAAGGTACTCAACTTCTATGTGGCTCGCCATCTTCATCAGTGAAGTTGGGATAATATCCTTATGGCAAAGTCAGAGATATTTTTTGGTTTTTCACTATTGTGTCCTAGTACTTAGAATAGTATCTGGCGTACAACAAAAACTCAACAAATTTTTGCTGCATAAATGAAGTACATATTGTCCGTATACCCCAATAGAAATTTGAATACTGAGGCACAGAAAGGTCAAATATTCTCCCTAACGTTAAGCGGCTTTCAGGTGACAATGTCCAGAGCTGAATCTAGGCAGGATGGTTGTAGAGCCTGTGCTCTTGACATTTACTTCATATCTGAGTGGGGTGGGAATGTCTGCTTCCACTACTCCGTGCATACTGCAGTAGCTGGTCAGGATAGCTATGGAACCATCTGATCTGAACATGCCTACATCCCAGGGACTTGGGTCAACTTTCTGTTATCAATTTTCCTTTTGGGGCAGAGACTAAGCCCAGACACTTCTTGTCATCACATAATCAAAGCAAAACTAAAATAAAAATTGGCTTTATAATAATTTTAGAATAAGAAACAAGCCCTATAATTAAGAAAAATGTAGAATAATTTTAGTTTCAGCAGTGATATAAGGTTTTACATTAAAAATACCAATTAATTCTTGACATTCTAGTCAGTTTGAATTAAAAGATCAACTCAGATAAATGTACAGGCTTTACATTTTATAAAGAGTTCTTTTATTTACTAAGTGACTCACAGGCAAACAAATTATTAGAAATTGGCTAGGAGTAATAGTGATTAGCTAACTAGCATATCTAATTTATGGATCATACCTCATTTTCGAACAGCCAAGGCTGAGAGGGACAATATGGAATTGACAGCAATTACAGGCAGGAATTTATACTGAAGAAAATAGAGCAAATGGCTAAAGGCATCAAGATATATTTAACTCTCCTATGAAGAACTTACATGGTTTGTGTTATTTATCGTATAAAATGTAATTTAGAATCTAAAATATATCAAATTCTACTTCTGCCATGTCACCTTTTATTAATATTTGTAAGAAAGATGGAGATGGAGGAAGAGTCTCATGGACAGAGGTACATGCGTGAAAAATAAAAGTGTTCTTAATACCTCTACCATGTTCTCTTTTTAAAAAAATCTCCACTCGATCTTAATCTTTTAAGCAATGCACATACCTAGTGCTGAAAAGCCATGTTGATTCTGCTTAGAAGAAAAATGTTGCTGTCAAATGGCAGGCAAGATTAAATGCACCTTTGCAATAGCACATTAAATGTGTAATTATTTTTCAGATCAACACAGATTAATTAAATTTCATGATAAAGATTATTGAATTTTGGAGCTGTCCATCCTTGTTAAAAAAAATCGTGTTTTAGGCCAAGTTGACTTAGGACAGTGATATTTTCTTCATGCTCTCATCATTATTATTATCATCTTGATTTTCATTTAATTCTCTTTTAATATTTACTGGAGAGTCTATGAAATGTTTCTTTGGTATTCATGTGTGTCTACTGAGTGAGAAAGTTGAACTTCGCCTTTCATTTACCTTTATAGGGAAAATACTCAACACATTTGATGTGTTCTTAAAATTTTATAATATAAATAATTGTAATTCATAAGTTGTTAACTATTATCTCTGTTACATGCTACTCTATTTTCTATGAAAATAAAAGTTCTCATTTACTTACAAACACCTAAATGTAGTGACTGCTGTTAGCAACATTTTTAAGTATATTAAATCTATGATCAGTGCCCCTGTCTTTTTGCATTGGTGCCAGTGCAAACCTCAGAGCCCAAAACCCTCACTCTCTTTCATATGTCCCCATGATCAAAATGTACTTCCAAAAGGCAAATGGTGGTAGTTCTTTACTAACTGTGAATGTAGCCACAGTGTCACCTCTTCTAAAGGTATTTTAATTTTCTCATTCTCCTCTTCTGCAACTTTTAAAAGACTTCCAGTGAGCAGGTCAATAGCGTTCCAGAAGAGGCGAGGGCCCTCTGGACATCTCTGAAATTGTACCACTAATGGTGATTACTACTCTGATGACATCGCAGGATGGCTCTGCTTGAAGCCAAACTTAAATCTCACAATTGCAACTATAGGTTATAAAATGGATAAGCTAAAGAAAAACAGAAGTGGCCTGAAGACTTTAAGTAAATCCTCACACTCCATTTTTGCCAGGGACTCTATACCTGCTAGAAAAACTTACCTATACTCCTTACTTAATCATATTACATGCAAATTTTAAATACATACTCGTTATCAGATTTTATGAATTATTGTCCCATGTAATTTATTATAACATATTATAATATATTGATAACAATTACTTGTTAACAGCATTTAGTACCATATCAAAATCATATCCAATAGGCTGCAATAGAGTTGAATAAGGATAACAGTGTTAACTACTTTTTTTCTTTTCTGGGCATCAAAATATTTCCCTTAGATATACATTTCAAAATATGAGAATAAATTTCCTCAAATTATCAGAAATCAGTAGGACTAATGAAACAGAAGAATGTGACGTGCCAGTTTTTTTTATTGCAAGACACATCAATCTTTGTCTTCATCATCTCTCAGTGGAAAAATATCTTGAATCTTACACCAGTTGAATGATGATTTCCCCAGGAAGGAGATATCACTCTAACCATTTTTCCAAATGCTTTCCAACGTACCTGGGCTCATGATAGTTGAGATATGAATAGTGCTCCAAGAGTTTCCAAGTTATCCCATTATCATACGAATAATGCAATAAAACTCCTTCACCAGGCTGGTCGGGGGCTCTGCATGTGCTCAGAACAGACTTGCTCCCCAGCCTCAATGTGAACTGGAGAAACCTAGACATGAATTGTCTGTAATTAGTGTGTGCATAAAAATTTTTAATCATAATGCTCATTTTGGCTTTTAAAGAATTCCAAACAAATTTAAACGAACTACTCAAAAGCTGCATGTTTCCACTCATCTCCCTTTTATAAAATGTAAGTAATTTCACTGTGAGATGTATGAATATGTGTAGAAGATGAGGTCAATGCATGTTTATATGCAGATATATCCATACAAATATAAGTGTATGTTTATACATACTTGTATACTATGTACTTGTGTACATACACTTAAAGTGCCAATCATTCCTTTACTGCATTATTTATTAGGCACTGGGGAAAGAGAAGATGTAGAGTAAATCTAATCAGCCTCTGCAAGCTGTCAAATAAATAAAACTACATAAATAATTAACTAGCCCTTGGCTTAAGAACACAGTTTTGATGCTAACATTTCATATGTTTAAAAACCTAGTCAGTCATTAAGTATCTTAAAAGTCATCAGTAGGTCTTTTAATTTATTAAAAACTAGGGCAAATTAACCCTGTATAAACTAACTGTAAGCTCCCTCTCGGTTAAAAATTGAAAGAGGTACATATCAGCAAAAAAGGGAGAAAACTGGAGAATAAAGAGATCTAACTTCAATCATTAGCATCTGGTTTCGATATGTATTCCACCCTGCCTTAACTCACCTGGATTGTGAGCTGTCAAGGAAAGATGTAATTAGCTGACGCCTCCCATCTTTGTTGAAAACCAGGGCCTTACCACTGGCCAAGACACCACAACCAAAGCTGACTTCAGCACCACGGATAGAGTAAAAGTTATGGTAAGAGGAGAGCCTGGAACTGCCAAAGCTTTCAGAAATAAACATTGGGAATGTCTGGGATGCCATCTCACAAGCTGGGCCAGAAAATCCAGGGTCACACCTGAAAGAGATACCATAAAATAAAACCTTAAGCTGTTGGTCCTTTCAGAGATGCCTGAACCTAATTCAGGGAGGAGGAAGTCCAGGGGCCAGGATTTGACTGAATGGTAAGCGAGGCGCATTAGTCTTTGGAAAACAATGAATCTGAAGACTTGATAAGGGTGATTGACTACAAATATTCCAGGAAAATATAGTCTTTGCACAGTCCTGCTATAAAAAACTTGTAATTAAAACAATAATTCAGCACTCATCTTTAACCAATGTCAGCGATTTATCTGCATCTAACATTGCGCACATTTCCAACTTAAAATCTTTGTAAAAGGTGTATTATCATGTATATACTTTTATTCTCAATTATGTTCATTAAATTTGTAAAAGAAACATCAATAAAATACTTTCAGAGACATCTGGAATAAATTTCCTCTAAGAACAAATGTAAAAATACACATTATGTTTGTGATAGAAATTATTTGAAATATTTGGAAAAGATTGGAAAATAAATCTATCTTTATTTCAAACTTAGATTGACACTATAAAGGGAATGTGAACACCTTGTCCTTAGCCGAACTGTGCTGCTCACAGTGGAATCCCAAATTAGTAGTTGCTTCAAGAAAAAGAAAAACAAAACAGAACAAACCCCACACAACAACTTCCCTCCTGCTGTATTTATTAGAAAACTCACTGAAGATAACTCCATAGGTGAACATCAGAAACTTCTTATATTTTAAGGCATTTACTCATCAGGAATTAGTTTTAAATTTTCTTTCTTTCTTTCTTTCTTTTTTTTTTACCGCACTATTTCTTTTTCACTATCTATTACAAAATTAAATTGTGTCTTTTTAGGGTGGGGTGAGGGGTTCTCATCTAAGCATTCAAAACCTCCTAAAATCTGAAACAAGCATTTTAGAAAGCCATGAAGTACCAATGAAGTGATATTATGACATAGTTCTGAAAAATACTTCTTTAGCACTAGTGCTGAAACTGGGACCTATGCTGGCCTCACAGAGAGGGTCCATGGAGTAGATGAACAAATGTCAAATTGTATGTGCATTGGATATTATGGGGGAGAAGAGTTATAGTCATTATCATATTATCAAGGAAGTTGGACCCTAAAATGCCGAGAACTGCTGCAGCGTGAAGTCTGAAGGTTGTTCAGCAGTAGGGATGGGAGTGGGAAAGCAAACCAGTATTTATGGAGCATGTAAATAAGCCTCAAACAGTATACTTCTTTCACACGTTATCTCACCGACTTAGTGAATAGCCAAGTAGTTTCCAAAAAGGATAAAAACTCAGCTAAGGAGGACACATTCTGACATTAGAAAACTGAATGTGGTTTTCCATGGCCACAAACTGGAATCAGTGTTCCCCAACAAGGCATGCATTTCAGGGCAAATGCATTTTTGTGTCTCTTAAATGTATCTTTTAGGACCAGTGATTGGGAGACATTAATGATCATTTAGAGATGACTCACATTGGAGTCAGTTCCCATTTAATGGTTTTCAAAGTACACTTTTAATGAAGTTATTTAATTGGGAAAAAATGCTGATCAAGATTCCATTCATATATTTAAAAATACATTTGCAGCCTTTGTTTTGCAGCAGAACAGTAGCGTAACCCAGTTGGGAGATTCCAGGAATGGCATGAGGCTCTCCTGACTCCAAAAATATCCCCTATTGGTTCATCTCCCCAACCTTAAATGTGGCATTACGGTCACCTTGTATGTCAGGATAAAAGGCCCCAGTGTTAAGCTATGTGGATGACACCCATGTAGGAAGGTTTCTAACGCTTTCTGTCCTTCTCACTAGTACCTCTAATAGGGATGGGCTTATTAGGATAAAGAGCTGTCCGTTTAAAAACCCAGGCTGGGGATTATACACAGGCAAGAAAGTGTTAAGACAGCAGGAGAAGCAGAATCCTGGTAGCAAGTAACAGTAGTGATGAGGGGAGCAAAGTGGGAAGAGAAACAAACTGCAAGGCCCCCAAATTGGAGGATCCATTCAAAAGGAATAAATAATACTGAATATAAATTTCTTTACTATGCCACTTTGCTCATACTTGACAAGTCACATATTGCTGGAAAAGGATGTAGTAGCCAAATATTTAGCACAGCCACAAATGAACAAAACCGATGAATATTACAAAAACATTGTCAGAAATCGGGAAAAAAAAACTCAAGTTCCAACTGGTGAAAATATTCTGCAAAACCTGAGAAGGAGGAAAAGGCTATGATTATTCAAGACAATGTACAGTGTCAAAAAAGAACAATGCCCAAAGGCATAAAACTGCCATTCAGATTTCTGTTTGCATCTATCATGAGTAACACGGATGGCTGTCTTAATAAACGCACTGAATGCTAACAGGGAGACTGTACACAAAAAACAAAGTATGAAGTGTAACTATTCTAATTACAGAGGGGTCTTGTAGAAATAGCACTTTCTATTTTCATTAATAAAGGCAGCTGTCCTTTTAGATAATTTGTTTTCAAAACTTTTCAGGACAACTTCAGGAATTACACAGATGTCTGGCGTTCTCGTGTTAATTTTATTTGAAATGCACTAAAAGAGAGGATGGCCTGGTTAGGGATGACAGATGACGAGAACAACTTGAGGAAAACACCAGATAATGCTTCACAGATCTAACGAGTCAGTGTTTTGGGGTGGTAGCTGGTAGTTTTATTGAAAAGCGAACGTTTGAATTCTTTCATACTTTCTAAAACATTTCTATTGTGCAGAGAGATTTCTTTGTTAATTAAATTCATTGCAATATAGTTAAAAAGTTAACACGACACTCTAATGTCAGTGCTGACAAGTGTCTTGTCTCATACATATAATTTCCAAATGATCAGGGAGAAATCTCTTTTATGAGTCTCCATTAATTAATTATTACTCTTTTTGTTTGGTGGACAAGAAGAGACAGACTAGATGATCAGTTGTTGAAAACTTATCTGTATAACAAAGATTGTAGTTTCAGGAATTTCCAGGATACTTTATAATTAAATATTAATGTGGGAATGACATAGTACATATGAATATCCATTCTTGTTATAAACATAACACAGTGCTTCGGTGGTGACTAGATGTTAACCATTTATGTAGAATTTCAAACTTCATATTTAACATCATTATTATGTAAAATACTTTATATATCATTTTGAAGACCCAAATGATTTTTGAAAGTAAGCAAGACTATAAAAAACTAATGATGTAATGTATGGTGATTAACATAATAAAAAAAAGAAACAAAAGAAAGTAAGCAAGACTGCAAAATTATATTTAAAGATGAATTTTCTTATCAAATCTGCTAAATTTGGCTCATTCTAGTTTCCTTTAGCCTTGGGTCAGTATCGATTTGCATAATTCATTTACAAAGCATGCTAGGAATTAAAACATGGCTCAAGAACACTAGAACAAGTTTATGGAAAAATAGCATATTAAAGAATGTAACCAAAGAAAAGGCAGTCATCAAGCTATGAAGAATTCAAATTTGTTCACAAATTTACACGAGGTATGCTAAATTTGTTCACAATCTAGCTTCATAGAAAAGTTATTTATTCATCAACTTCCACCTACAAAAGACACTTAATAGTCTATTATACTTAAATTCCCTTTGGAGAATCCTACTTTAGTCTTGAAAAGATCTCAAAAGCCTAAAAAGGAAATTAAAACAAGTTAAAATGACTTGTGGCCTCAATATATAAAATACATATAAAAAAAGAAGTATAATTATTATTTTAAAAAATGCTTACTTGCAACCATGTCGAGTACACTGTCCTCGGCCAGAACAGAACTTGAGGCACGATGGACCAATATAAACTGCAGGCAGGGCAAAAGACAGCATGTAAAAAAAATGGCAAAACCAACTGGAAAAACTAAGAACAACATCAGCATGTGAATCAATTTTGTGAAGCAATACCCATAAAATCTAGCCTATTCTGTGCATGTTGTACGCAGGAAGCCAGGGTAACACAGAGTGCTGTGTGACAAGGTAAGTGCTTAGCACAAATCTGCTGGAAATGTTTTAACTTAATTCTTTCAAGATTTTAATGTTCCATAGCAAAAATAGGTAGAAACATACGATTTGGGTTCCTTAATGGAGTCTCTTCAGCTAAAATGATTTCAGGCAGAATATTGTGCTTCTGACTTGAACTTTCTATAAAGTTTAATTTTTTTTAGGTAGAAATAAAGAATTTGCAAAGGATCAATTTGATATATCAAGAAATGGAGACTTAACTTAAAAACTGTAACTTCCATTCTTATCTGGGAAAAATCTATAACACATTGCAGATGATTGTTACATATCTTTCTAAATATTAACCCATCCTTCCTGAAATGGGGAGTTAAAAATCTGTTGTGCATCAAGTTTCCTCTGAAATGCAGATCTTTTCCTAAATGGTGAGCCTGACTGATAATATTAAAAACCTCAATTCTAATCTTTGGAATGCCAAGAAAAGGGTTCCTGGTGGTTGGATGGTAGGTTCTGAGATAATCAGACTCAAATACATTTACAGATATTAAGCCTCTTGATAACCGACCAGTACAATGAATAACACACCAAAAAGTGTGAAAAATGGGACAAAACCAATGAGGAATTAGAGATGCAATGGTTGCTAAGACCTCACATATTCAATTTTAGGCACAAATTTGCATTCCATTATCATTTTTTTCCTGTCTCATAATGATGTCAAATGATTTCATTTTAAAATAAATTTCCCTGTGGATAATGCTCCTACAAACACTTGTTCTCTGGAGCCAATTAATTCAAGTGTGATGCAAAGTAGCCAGGAACAACTCTTGCTGAAGGAAGCTGATGGTTAAGGAAGAGATCAGATAGCAGGCTGAGTGGTTAAAGTTATGGGTTTTAGGTGTCAAATAACCCTGGATTCAAATTCCCACTTCATCTGGAAAACTCTGGATAAGTGATTTATCCAGTGCTCCTATTCTTTAAAGTGGGATAATGATCCTTGGAGGAAAGAGTAAATGAAATGTTCATGCTTAGCAGGCTGCCTGGCACCATATGGTTATGATCACCATGATACTGGGGTCAAGAATCCTTCTTGCTCCATCTGCCTTGTTGGCCTCTACTGGACAGCACCAGTGTTGAGAAATCAGGAAAAGGCTTCATGCAGTCTTCTTTAGCCTGGTAAAGCTTATGGATTGTTTTCCCAGCACACTTTATTTTATGGCTGCAGTGAGATTTATTCTAAGTTCTGTAAATGGTTCATTGCATTTTGCGGGATCACTCTGGAGGGCTTCCCTAGAAGCTACCTAATGTCATAGTTCAAAAAGCTTCCATTGTAAAAAAAATTTTTCAACAATAAAACAAGATTTTCCAAGTCAATGAAAATATTGCAATTAAGCATCTTGTCATCCCTCCCCACTAATGATAGGGTCATTGGGATTCACAGCATGAGTAAGTTTATAGGCCCTTTTTCCTAAGAGTGTGGAAAGGATAGATTTGTTTTTATCACTCTTATTAATTTAATCAAGTAAAAAAACTAAAAAGTGATAACAAACATACTTTGCTCTAGGATTTTCCATTTTGCTAAGAACTTCAGGATAATTCCAAAAATACTTCCTGTACACAGTAGCAGGAAAAACATACCTAACAGAAGTAGGATATTGACCTTTTTCTCTCTGTTTTCCTTGACATGATTTGGAATTCCATAGAGAAGTGGGAGAGATTTCAGAAGTGTTCTTGGCCAAGTTGGCACATATTTCTCTTGGGAAGGACTAAGTGTGTGTCCTTTTTTTGCCTTATGAAGAAGCCAGAGAGCAGGTCTTGTTTTTGTGAAAACCTCACATGTAGGATGACAACAGAATTGAGGAAATTCTGCCCCAAGTTTTGCATTTGACCTGCACTGCTCATTCCATATATTCTTACCTTTTCTCATTCTACTCAAAACATGATGGTGGGACACTTTCTGACTTGGGATCATGTAGTAGCCTTCTTTAGGAAATTTAGATATTCTTTTCATAGGCTTACATGTGCTTCATAGCACTCTTAATTTCCTCATGCGCTTTATTATTGGTTTTTTGAGTTCTTTTATTATTATCAAAGTAATATAAGTTCATTATAGGACCCCTAAAAAGTATGACAGTAGGGGAAAAGTCACTCATATCCTACTATCCAGAGGCACATACTTATTCCCTAGAGCTAATTAACAGGTGTTGTAACTCAAATGCTATGCAAAATGTTCTACCAATGGAGGAAGTCCATTTTACCAAATTAATCTTTAGATGGTTTTGCAAATGTACTATGTACTATGTTAAATGTACTATGTTGACGTATGTGGTCTTTGAAGTCTGGGCCTCTTAACTGGTCTTCTCTGAACACAGACTGCTTAAAGAATTTACATTCGCTTATCAGTAAATTATCTTGCCTGAAGTTATTCCTGAGTTTCAAGAATGTATTCCATTAAATGTGTAGCAATTTTTTGATTATTCAAAAAGAGCAAAAAGACTGGGGTGCCTGGGTGGCTGGCTCAGTTGGTTGGGTGTCTGACTCTTGATTTCGGCTGGTATCATGATCTTGGGGTTGTGGGATTGAGCTCCCCATCAGGCTCCACACTCAGCCCGGAGTCTGCTTGTCCCTCTCTCTCCTGCTCTGCTCCTCCCCCTACTCCTTGCTCATGCTCTCTCTCTCTCCAATAAATAAATAAAATCTTTTTTAAAAATAGCAGAAACATTATTAAAACATGGGAGGTCAGCATGAAAAATGATGTAGGCTTTTCTTACATCATAAAATTGACCAAAGTCGGTGGCTATGCTAAATTGGCTTAAGTATTGACATTGGTCCCCCCTTCCCTCCCTTTCTAATTCCTCGTAACTCTTCAGTCAAATTGATATACTCTGAAAATAGGAAATCTATGAATCTGCCTGTAATAAGAAGTATTAAAAAACTAGAGTGGGCTATTAATAACAAATATAAGAAATTTATAGTCACGCACCCCAATAACTTAAAATATCTTCTCTCCTGTACACTTGTTACAAGTGATACTGGCTTTAAAGTCATGCAAAATGATCAACAACTCACTTAAAAATTAAAGATAACATAGGATATTTTATGTATATCTAAATTTTCCTCTTATACTGTTTTCTGAGAAGGAAGTAGAAGTTTTGCTTCAGAAGTTTCATTTTAGAGATGATGTTCCCTTATGTGTGGTGTCTGCATCTAAAAGATAAGCGTTCCAGATGTTGCAGTAGTTACTAAGAGAAGAATGGGTCTTATTTTAATACATGCAGTATGGTTAAGTACTTATGTTAATTTTGTGTAAAACATTCAAAGAAAATGTTAGGATATCCTCTGTCATCAGCTGTGAATTTGAGTTTCAGGGCTTTACGCATTTTTACATTATGTATGTTGAAACATTCTGGCATCTAATATTGCTGACACCGCTGCCTTTTTTTTTCTGATTGTGCATCCCTGGGCTTCTAACGGAATGCAAAGGAGAAAGGGAAGAAAGGGCGTTTAATGAATCGCAAGACCATGACTTAGAAATGTGACTAAGTCTGTGCCAACGAACAAAAGCACAGGAAGACTCTGCATCAATGGCATGTGATTATGACAGGCATAAACTAACCATTATCAATTGCCCACATGTTTCCAAGGATTGGTCCCGTTTGTCTCCAGCGAATTCTGGTGTCCCTGGTTAGTGCTGCATTAGGAAGGGGAATCGTTATTCGGTTCCACCTGCAAGAAATTTAGCACAAAACAGCTTCACCACATTCTCATCTTTTGAACCTCTTTTACTTGCCTTTGACGTTCTAGTTTCTAAATGCTTGAGACAGCACTAAAGTTTGGCAATAAACTCTTCAAATTCACCTGTGGAGTTTGTTTATAGTTTTCCGACAAAGAACTTCTAAAAACAGCCGTATCACACTAGAGTACTGTGTTTGTTCTTAATAGCAAGTGATATTTATTTTGTTTTTAGACATTCTTTTTAGGAATTTTTACAGCAATACTCAGACCTATGATATTATTCTATGATATGCATCGGCGCCGACATGGGGGCTGATTGGCATTGATTACTTTCTATTTTTTGCTCTCCCCTAGTCCTATGCACATTTCAAGAGAGGCTAAGAAAGAAAATAATTCCTAACTTAATTTTGCCATGCTTGGAGATATTTTTACCAGTTTATCCGCTGCTTATTCTGTAAGGTGGAAGGTATTTGGCACAGTCATCTTTAATTCTCTAAACAGCCCTCAAAGGGGTATACCATTGTCCTTAATTGACATGGAAAGAAGGGGAAAGTTAGAGAGTAAATATCATTACTCAAGCAGATGGCACAACTAGGATTTGAACCCACAGCTTCACTTTCTTCCACCTCTCTATGCTGTATCGTTCCCTAAGTAAGTATTTTGGCAAGAAGCCTTTTGGCAATAACCATGCAATCAACTATACAAAATTTAAATTTAGGTATCTAAAATATAAAAGCCAAGTACATAGAGAATGAGTGACCCTACACATCCTGATCTTGTATCAGATTTACTGAAGTTATTATCTTTTTGTCTTTTTTTTTTTTTAAATGGGATCCTTCCTATATCTCCTGAAAGCTTCCTTACCTATTATGAAAAAGTAGAGTCTTAGGCTTACTCCTGGATTTTGAGTCATAACATGGATTCAAATCTCCCGATCTTTCAGAGAGAATGTACTCACCCACTGTAGTTTTCGGAAGAGTAGATTGTGCTGTGGGGGAGGTGGGGTCCAGCACAGATCTCAGGCAAACACTCAGTGTGGAGGAGGGACCAGGAGCGCCCATGGTTGGTGGAAAACTCCAAGCTGACGCTGGTAACACCAGGACAAGCACAACAAAAAAGCGCAAAGATTAGAAAATGAAGAGACTCACTCCTCGCTAAGTATCTTAAACATTTGCAGAGCTAGGGTAACGAATTTTAGGATGCTGTTTCCAAAATGATCGTTTCCCCCTTCACTGCGCTCTGACCAGCCTTCAAAGGGCAAACGGTTAAATTACCGCGAGAGAAACAGACTATCTTTTTAAAGCCAACAAATGGGAACGGGCGTTGGCATGCTTCAATCTGATAGATGGCAAGGCAATTACCATGTCTCACACTGCCACCTCATCCCGTGAATGTGAGACTCACAAAATCCTTAGAAAGGACCAGCAACACTTGTGTGAAGTGAAACCGAGAAGTCATAGCTCTTGAAGTGCTAATTGATTTCCGTGCCTATTATTAGAGGGTCACTAACCAACATGAGGTCAAGCTTTTTTTCTCAGTTATTTGTTTTTCTTCTCTCTCGGCAATCTGTCTGCATGGATGGCTGCCACAGCGTGTGCAAACACTTCTGCTACCTAAAACCAAGCTCATAGAATGAACTCATTTCTACTTAAAATTATCCAATCATAATCTGCATATTAATTGAAGAGCTCCTCTTTGGGGGGAAAGTGTGTATTTTTTAAAGGATGTTTCATTAGAAATTAAGCTGGAAACCTACTGAGAAGTTGCTCTGATTTAATAGCCAAGTCCACGTGTTCATTTTTTTTTAAGATGTTATTTTTTTAAGTAATCTCTACGCTCAACATGGGGCTCAAACTCACAAGAGTTGCGTGCTCCACGAACTGAGCCAGCCAGGTGCTCCCACGTTTTCATTTCTAATTAGTGTGTGAGTTCACACACTCACAAAATAGGACTTCCTACCTGTTACCAGGTTGATGTGTTCCACAGCCCAGATTAATGGAAAACTGTATCATGTGAGACATCGTAGAAGGGAGAACAGGTAAGACATGGAAAAAATCGACAGCCCAGACGTTCCTGTTTTGACCTTGATGGTTCCTTTGCCTGAGACAAAATCTGGTAGCAGGCGTCTGAAGCTCAGGATAGATGATGACAGAAACTAAAGATGGAACCTTCAAAACAAAGGAAACCAAAATCACCCATCCTCCCTCTATGTGAGACTCTGTGAATTCTCCTAGATTCAATCTTGCAGTTACTATATGTATAATTGCCATTTATGAGCACCGGGCGAGGTCCTGTGTGTTCCACTGTTATTTCATGTAGTTGATGCAGTCTTCATGGGTATTCGTTCGAGTCACTCAGGATTCCTCCTTTGCAGGCACCTGGAACTCTCTGTGTTTGACTGATCAGGCCCTCTCTACCTGAAGATTAATTAGTGTAAGTTCTTTAAAAGTTATCAGAGCGTATGTATCCATTTTATATACCTTGGCACAAGACAAAGGCAGCTTCACAGTTATACTTTATCATCGGTCCTCTTTTAAAAAAGTGAATTTGTATGGTACTAATGGTTGCCAAGCTAGTATTCTGAAAATAGGATGCTAAGCAGTAACAGCCAACATCAACGAGTTAATACATAATAACTTACATAATTGACTTGGTCTGAGGCATGCAGCCGACCAGAGCAGATGTAACCCTAGCTAGTCACAGGTGGAAAACTAGTCCATTATGAAATCCCAAATGGTCTAACTCGAGTAACGCTAGCAGATGGGCGTGCTGGATACTTTCTCTGGCCATCCCCTATTCTAGCCTCAATGTTTATCTCCTCCACTTCTTTCCGAAATGCTAGGTGCTGGCTGTGTTCAAGCTCTTTACAGTTCTGAGGGTGCCATCAATGTGGAGAAGAGCATAACTAATAATGATTGTGTGAGTGTAGTCTCAGCACAAAGAAATCTACTACTAGAAAAAAATAATTCTACTCCTAATGACAAGCATCACACATAATTTTAAAGGAAGATGTTTGCAAATAACCAGAGCCAGTACATGCACTAAATCCAAAGGGCAAAGGAAAAAAGTCAATTTCAGTGGCTACAATTAGCAAAAAAAAAAAAAAAAAGTAGCAATAATCTATACTTCTACAATGTCTTCTGCCTAGGAAATCCTAAAATGCTTGATAAATAGTCATTATGCCTGATAACAAGTCTGTGAGGCTCCATAATTAGAGCCACTTTTAGGGCTTTATAGGGAACAAGAATAATTGTCAGAGTACTGGGCTCCATCTTACCATCTCTAATGGGCTGTAATTCATTTTTCCTGATAAAAACTGCCTTTTTCATTTGTGTCAGGAAAAAAAAAAGAGAATATTAAACTGTCCATGTCACTTTTAAAGAAATCTAACAACTTCCTGGGCTTCTAAAAGAGAGTGTTCTCTGCATCTAGCAGGGTCTTCATGGTTTTGACCTTGGCCTATCTACGGAGATCTGGGATGGGGCCATTTGGCACATGGACTGGCATCAATACCTTATAGGAGGAATAAGAAAGAGTATCCAGTGTAATGTGCTCTTTTCTTCCTTCAATCTTTGCGTACAGGGTGATATCATTTTCATGAGAATCTCCAGGGTCACAAACCCCTCCTGTATAAAACAAAAATTGTAAGTTCTTGGTACCAAATTGCATCCATAAACATGTGTAGTGTTAACTTTCAGGATAAAAAAATTATAAGAATTATAATTATAATAATATTATATTAATTAGAATGACCCTAAACAAAAATAACCAGACCCAAGGAAATAATTTATAAAGATAGTTCAGATAGAACTATCTCATGCTAAAGATCAATAACTTGATATTTGGGAAGGCCAAAGTAACTGTGTGCTCCATGAGATTGCTCAAATGATAGTCTGCATTGAGCCGCGGCTGCATGTCCAAATTTTAACGCACATTAAAAAAGATGTGCTCTGCTTTTTAAGAAACTGTCACTTCCTTATATTTGAGGTCTTAATGGCCAAAATTCAGAACTGACTGATGATGGTTTTTAAAAAAATGTGGTGACTCACTCCATTAGCTATTTCTGAAGTGATATTACTTAAACAGTTGCACATAGTATCCTTAATATTTTAGCACATACTAGGTATTTGCATCTTAATTGCAGTTCATTTTACATTTTTCATTTTTATTTTTGGTACCTCATTTGGTTATTGGAAAGTACACAGAGTAGTTCATTCCCCATCTCTCTACTTTACAGTCAAATGAAATGATTGAACATTAGAACCGAGAGGTAATTAAGACCATCCTGATGACGAAACTGAGTAACAGGGCAGGGACCTGAAACTGAAGACCATTCAACTAACCGGTGGAAAAGCCGTGAGTCAATGGTATGTCTTTCAGCCCTTGACCCTCTATTCTTTTCACTACTGCATTCAGCCAATAATTCTTACTATTGCTGGCTTCTATGAACTGTCTGCAGAATCTGGGTTTTAAAGGATTGCATGTCTACCCAGAAGCCTCTCCCTACCCACTACTATCATTCACAACAGCCCCAGTCATCATAGCAGGAATGTAGGAATGTACATGGATTTCCTGGCAAATATTCTATCCTTATGGTACCAAATTTATAACATTAACTCTTAATTTTATTACTATCTTTCAAAAGATTCCCTCCAGTTCTTAAATTAACCACCATTAATGTTAATTTTTATCTATAGGTAATTTCTGTTGCTAATACTCTATGGTGACAGTAGGTTAACCTCAAAACTCTAGAACAAGGTTACCCTCTGAGAATTAATCTAATAAAATCAACAAATAATGGTTGAGATTCACTATCGGAAGGAAGGGAGGAAGGAGGAAAAGGAGGAAGGAAGGGAGGGAGGGAGGAAGGAAGGGAGGGAGGGAGGGAGGAGGGAGGGAGGGGAGGGAAGGAAGGGAGGGAGGGAAGGAGGGAGGGAGGGAGGGAGGGAGGGAGGGGAGGGAAGGAAGGAGGAAGGGAGGAAGGAAGGAAGGAAAGACAGAAGGAAGGAAGGAAGGAAGGAAGGAAGGAAGGAAGGAAGGGAGGGGAGGGAAGGAAGGAGGAAGGGAGGAAGCGGGGGAGGAGTGTTTGATACTGGGGTCTGATCTTGGGAAAAAATTACTGATATGTACTGTTTTAAGTAAGAAAGCTAGAACTTAATCAACATAAGAAAGATCATAATAATAGAAGTAACTTGGATGCTGGTATCCATGAAGCATAGAACTATAGCATGTTACATCTGTTAGAAATATGTAACTTGGCATATTATAAATATTTATTGAGTTAACTAATCTGAACTGAGAAGAGAGAGGCCAGATGTGGTGATAATGTCACCCTCATCCTAACAGATGTTTATTGTTTAAGGGCCTTACGATTTTGATATCTGATATGAGTTTTTTTAGCATTTTGTTACACACTGCTACATCATGGTAAATACAGCTAGTAAAGTCATTCTAAATGACTGTCTTTGGGGGAAAAAGATCTGCATGAAAACTAAACCCCTATGTAAAAACTGTAACTTCTTTGTTGAGGACATATTAAAGACTTACCCAAAAGAACACAGGAAAGGTGAAAGGTCACAGGCAGTATGGATTTAAAGCAACATACCCAGAGACATAGGAACTGAACCTCAGTCCTCTCTAATTTCATTGATTTATTCCCTGTAAATCTCTGCTCTCTTAAGAACAGTTTGTGAACTTCACCTGCCTTTCAGAGGGAATGGAGACATACGTGAGCGCTCCTCCCGCCCAGAATGACAGAAGAAGAAAGTCCAAAAGGAGACACAACTTTAAAATGATGACAGACTTTATCTAAAAGATCCCTCTGGGGGCAATTTATCAGCTCTGTGAAGTTTCAGTGACAGCAGCTGGTACAGAAAGATATGGATTCTTCTTCAGTTTCATTCGCTTTGATGTACTGTGGGAAGGTATGACTCAAGGGGCATTTTGTACAGCAATTACAGAAGACCTCAATAAAAACCAGATGGACAGTCAGTTTTCAAACAGTTTAAGTCCTGATTTAAGTAGTTTTTAAGATACTTATTTATATTAGGAGAGTGGTTTAATTATTTACTATGTATAGGACATTGGGCGTGAAGGGAAAATCTGACCTTAAAAAATTTGTAATTTAGCCAAGAAAACAAGATTAATACTCACAAAAGAATGATAATTAGCAATAAACTGTGTTGTGCTGCCATAATTACAGACAAAATTCAGAGAAGAGAGATATAAGTGTGGGCTAAAAGCTGGGTGTTTATGAGATACCACCTCACACAAGTCAGAATGGCTAAAATTAACAAGTTAGGAAACGACAGATTTTGGCAGGGATGAGGAGAAAGGGGAACCCTCCTACACTGTTGGTGGGAATGCAAGCTGGTGCAGCCCCTCTGGAAAACAGTATGGAGGTTCCTCAAACAGTTGAAAATAGAGCTGCCCTACGATCCAGCAATTGCACTACTGGGTATTTACCCCAAAGATACAAATGTAGTGATCCGAAGGGGTAGGTGACCCCAATGTTTATAGCAGCAATGTCCACAACAGCTAAACTATGGAAAGACCCAAGATGTCCATCAACAGATGAATGGATAAAGAAGATGTGGTGTATGTGTATACACACACACACACACACACACACACATACACACACACTGGAATATTATCCAGCCATCAAAAAAAACCCCAAAATCTTGCCATTTGCAATGATGTGGATGGAACTGGAGGGTGTTATGCTGAGCGAAATAAGTCAATCAGAGAAAGACATGTATCATATGACCTCACTGATATGAGGAATTCTTAATCTCAGGAAACAAACTGAGGGTGCTGGAGTGGTGGGGGTGTGGGAGGGATGGGGCGGCTGGGTGATAGACACTGGGGAGGGTATGTGCTATGGTGAGTGCTGTGGATTATATGCAAACAATGAATCATGGAACACTACATCAAAAAATAAATAGAAAAAAAAAGTTGGGTGTATGGGAGATGTTCAGTGAATATAATAAAGGAATGAATGATGTATGTCAGGTTATTTATGTCCTGTTCACTGCATTCTGGCTCTAAGAACAGTGTTGGATACTGGTCCTCAATGAATTTGTGTTGAACGACTACATGAATGAAGGAAACAGACCTGAACCTAATTTTGAAAGTTGAGCAAATTTTCCAGAAATAGTCACAGCAGATTGATCTGAACCAAGGGATGAAACCAGGAAGAACAAACAGGCAGGGCCAGAAAGGAAGGCAGCGTGATCTTGTTCAGATAAACAATCAAATAGTGATTTTCCAAAGGGGTCAGTATAAGCTGTCTACCATATCTTAGATCTCTTCCCATGTTGCCTTTTTCTCCACCAGCTACCAAAGTTTTGAAGTCTTTCTATAGGTCCAGTCTTACCCTACCCTATATTTTCCTACTGTTCTGTCCAATTACATCCTCTCCTATCCTAAAAACCACCTTTGCTAGATCCTGCTTTCTCCTCAAGATCCAGACCTCATTTCTTTTCTTCTGTTACTGATGAACTTCTTGAAGAAGTGGTCCTTCTTCAGGGACACATGTCTTTTATTCTTTGAACTCTATGTGCTCTGGCTTCCCATGTACACCATGGGGAATACTCGCTCAGAAGTCCCTGGGGGGCTCTCAGCCCCTATCCTGGTTGGCTTCTCTGTGGGCTAATCCCTACCCCTTCCCTTCCTCCTTCAGTGTAGAACAACACCTTCCTCCCACATGTCTTTATGTCCTTTCTCAGTATCCTTTGTCTACCTCTATGCCTTCCACCTTTACCTAGATGAGGGCTCCCCCTAAGAATTTTTCCTGTCCTTTGTTTACTCTGCCTTCTGTTTGGGAGAACACAGCAACTCCAGTGGCTCCAATTGTCACTTGTGTGCTGTATGATTTTCAAATCTGGTTCACACCCTGAGAAAAATTTCTACCTTCGTATGGCTTTCCAGAAGCCTCAACCTCAACATACCTAATGCCAAAATCTTCTACCTCATATCTACTTTTTATTTATTTATTTTTGGACATTTCCTATTTCGGGAAATAGGAAGAAATCCAAGAAATCCAAGGAAGAAATCCATGAAAGAAATCTCTGTCCTTTCCAATATTGGTCTCACAATCTCCAGAGTCTTTTGGGTGTGAACCTCAGCTGGTTCCTTCTCTTCTGTTGTTTATTCTCCATCCCCTTCTTCGTATGATTATCACTGTCACTGCCATATTCCTTGGTTGCTTGGACTAGTGCAATAGCTTCCTAACTTCAGGTTGCCAGATGAAATATATTGCACAAACAATATTTATATGAAAACATTATTTATCTGAAATTCAGATTTAAATAGGTAAAGGGGATTAAGAGGTACAAACTTCCAGTTATAAAATAAGTAAGTCACAGGGATGAAAAGTACAGCATAGGGAATGTGGTCAATAATACTGGAATAACTATGTGGTGACAGATGGTAACTAGATTCATCGCAGGGATCACTTTATAATGTTTGAAACTAATCACTATGATGTACACCTGAAACTAAAAGGATATTATTGTATGTCAGTTACGTTTCAATTAAAAAAATTTTTAAAGGCTATTTATTTTAGAGAGAGAGAGTGCACGAGTGGGAGGGGCAGAGGGAGAGAGAGAGAGAGAGAATTTCAAGCGGACTCCGTGCTGAGTGTGGAGGCTGACACGGGGCTCGATCTCACGACCCTGAGATCACGACCTGAGCCAAAACCAAGAGTCTGATGCTTAACCGACTGCGCCACCCAGGCGCCCCGCATTTTAAAAAAATTTAAAAAGCTGCTTTGGTTTTTTTCCTCTAACTCTGGCAACCCTACCCTCCCTGGTCTCCTGTCCTCTAATTTCTGAGTGTTTCAGTCTTTCCTTCACATTCATGCCAGAGTTATCTAAAACACAGATGAGAATACGTCACAGAACTGACAGGAATCATTTGGTGGCTCCATGCTGCCTAAGAAAGAACCTGAACTCCTTAGTCGATATTAAAGAAGATCACCATTCTGGTTCCAGTTCTCTTTTCTTGCTCCATCTTCTTTCTACTCAGTTGTAGTGGGAAAATCACCTGCCCCAAACATGTCATGTGAATTTATACTTGTGCTTTTTCTCAAAATGCTCGCTTAGCTTGGCATTCACTACTCCCTTCAAACCCTTAAAAAGTTGTTTTTAATATTGATAATTCTCTCTGTTTCAATATGATATTCAAAATTAACTATCCCACTTGTATATTGGCAGAAGTGTAGGGATAGGTTTTTACAATACAATTTATGTTCTGATTTTTGTATAAAATAAAATGTCCCTTAGTTCCCTCTTCTTTGAGAGAACTATCATCTTCCTCCTGCCTCTATTCCTTAGAGGTAAGTTATAATTTTTTTTGTTTTTAAAATTTCTATTCAAGTGTAATGAACACAGTGTTATATTAGTTTCAGCTTATAAATCCCTTTAGATTTAAATTAAGGCCATCCTCCAAGGAACAGTTCAAATGTCATCTCCCTCACAGAGTGTTGCCCTGATCTCAGCACTGCAGTGACCCAGAGTGTCCTTGGCACTTCCATACCATCTTCATTTCATTACAGCCCATTACATTCTCTCTCTTCCTAAAAATTTTTATTTAAATTCCAGTGCAGTTAACATACAGTGTTATATTAGTTTCAGGTGTACAATACAGTGATTCAACAGCTTTGTACATTACTCAGTGCTCATCAGGATAGGTGTACTCTTCATTCACCCATCCCCCACCTTCTTCCCCCCGGTGACCATCACTTTATCACTTTGTTCTCTACAGTTAAGAGTCTGTTTCTTGGTTTGTCTCTCTGTTTTTCCTTTGCTTGTTTGCATTTTAAAGTCCACATATGAGTGAAATCATAGGGCATTTGTCTTTCTCTGACTGACTTTTAGATGCAGTTACTTGTGGGCAGGAATTCTAAAAAATTTATATATATATAAAAAAAGATATATTGAGTTGTACCTATTGGCACTAGGCACTGTTTTAAGGGATTTGCATAAATTCAATCATTGAGATTTAGGTACCATTATTACCCCCCATGGTATTCGCCACATAACCTAGTTCAGTGCTCTACAGTCAATTGGAATTAATTAATTTTTAAAATTAAATGGAGATGCTTTTATTTGGGATAATGTTCTGTTGGCTCATTCAAATGAGTTTTTTCCTCACAGTCGATATTATTTTAATTGATTCATTAATAATCTTTGTTTCAGAAAGATTAAAGATGACTAAATTCCTTCTATAAAGACACTTATATAAATATGACAGTGTCTTACAAAGGCACTGAATGGGGTTGATTTAGTATGATTCACCTTGAAAAAAATCAAGAATTCAAATATATTATGTAAAAAATGGTAAAAAGGGAAAATGCTTAACATTAGAAGCATTGACAAGCTGAATGTTTATGACAACTTTTTGAGGGGAGGGTTAAGGTTTCCCAGGAAGCTTTCTTAATAAAATGAGAGCCAGTTTGAATTCTAATTATGTAAAGGAAATGAACTCTGGGTCTCTAAGTATACGGACCATTTCTGTCAAGGTGGGGAGATCCTTAATGTAGGAAGATTACATTACTATACTTTATATGTATAACTTCCCTGTTATCAAACAGATCATCATTGAAAACGAGGTAGCATCAAGCAGACAACGTTTTGGAGTATGACATAATCTGAAGTTTACCGTGCCACTCTGACCTGTAGGAAGTAAGGAATGTGAGGGAAATAAACAGCTAGTGCTGAAGCCCAAACTCAGGGGCCCTGTTTGTCCTGATGAGCTGACACCTTTGCAAGTAAGTTCAAAGGTGGTAAATGTTTATTTCCTGTTTCACTTCCAGGTGTTGCCTGTGCTTTCCCAGTCACTCAACAAAAAAAGGCATGTGACACCTACTCACATTTCTGGAATGACATCCAGTGGAAGAATACGTAACTAACATGATAAATTTGAGAGGTCCCTGATTTCAACCCCCCCCATTCTTCCTTGGGTTTTTTTCTAAATGTTTACCTACTTATTTGCTCTACAATAATCTGGAGAAAAATACACCTTATGAACACTTTCTTTGTGTGTTTGCTACATATTAAAAAGTAGACAGTGTTATTAAAGTATTATAAACCTCTTTCTTAGCATCCCACAAAGAAGCACTGATGCAATGATGATATGTCCACGAAAACAAATGACTTACCTGGATGATTGCTCTGGGGGGAAGCCAGGGACTTTGGACAAAGGAGTTATTTTGTTCTCACCTTCTCTCCCATTGTCTTTTCAGCTATGACCACTGAAGGAGAGGTGTGATGAAGGTATAGGGCATTTTACCTTCAGGCCTGTCAAGGCATGCCAGGACTAGTTCTCTTATAGGATGGTTCCAGTAGGGCTGGTCTGAAGCAGGTGGGAGCTTTTGTTCATCTAGTATAACTCATATTTTGTGAATTTCATTTTATGTTGTTGGCCAACAAGCAATCTTACTTCCCCAGGGACAGGGGCTGGCCTAGGTTCTGCCTTAGGTCAAGAAAATTTGTTCAAAATGTACCTACCCATAACGAAGTAAAATCTCAGGTTCCCATAACCGGTAGTATCCATATATGGGGTGCATAATTTCCTCTCTCCATCTTTGAGGAAGACCATTGATAAACCTGATTCTACTGTTCCGCATTCTGTACCAATGACAGCTCCCAAGATGTCCCACCTTAAAAAAAAATGAGAATCATGAACAGTTGGAATATTAAGTCAAAGCTTTATAGAGTATAACATTTTATTTTTAATGAAGAACATTTACTTAGTAATCAATAATTCTGAAATAAAGATGTGGGACAACAGATTTTCATAATGAACCAACTTTTAAACACATTCCATTCACAATTATGATTTTTCTGTAGAAGGACAAATTTAATCAATACTATGTATGGTATGTCTACCACATGATAGTCTTCATTCTCCAAGTACTTACAGTCAAGATTGGGGGGGTCAAATTTGAACTAAGGAAACAGGGAACCATAAAAGACAGTATCATAAGATCATAAACAATTGTATGGTATTTTGCATATTAAAAAAGTTATAGAATGTAAAGTCATAAGAGTAGCAAGAGCCTAGTTTTCAAAAAAAGATGAGATTTAACCTGGATCATGTCAAAAAATATATATTCAGATATAAAGAGGAGAACAAAAATATCTAATATTTTAAAACTCCTATTTCTCCTTAGTATTTATTTCTGGTTGTATCTAATCTGGACATTGCTATTCACACAACTCGCTTGCCCACAGATGGAGGAAACTGGGACACACAGAGGTTAAGTGGCTTGCCTAAGGCCAACTGCCTGTTTAGCTCTAAAACTGAGATCTTCTGTATCTCAGTTTGCTGTTATTTTCGTAGTTATGCTTCTAAAGAGTGTACTGTGCCAGGGAGATTATGTTGGACCATTCCAGTTTATAATAGATTTGGGACCAAGATGTTTAGGAAATGCTTATTTTTTTTTATATTTTAACATTATATTAATCATTCAAGAAACTAAAAAATAACCTTTTGAAGCAGCTCTTAATAGTGCTGGACCACTGTAAATTAACAAGGAACCTCTCTTGACTCATACAAGAAAATTTCACACTGGTTCATTGGTCTTTTACTCGCTCCATTTATCCCAATTAAACCACTCAGCCTACTGATCCACAAAGCAAGTTAAGGTTATAAATGATGCATATGATGACTCCTTTTAGGCTTTAGAGTATTTTTAAAGTGAAAAATTGAGTTGAGAAAGATGGAATTGTCATGGACTAAAAGAACCTTCTATTCAAGTGAAAAATGAGATTAGTAGTCTTTTCCTCATTATTAGTTGTGAATGAGTAACTCTTCTAGATGAATCTAAATGCATTATTTTCAAGACATCCACCACAGACAGAGCTGTGTGAGATATGTTCAGACTGTATATTGCTTTTTTTTTAAGATTTAGTTATTTATTTGAGAGAGAGAGAGAGAGAGAGTGAGAGAGCACAAGCAGGAGGGGTAGAGGGAGAGGGAGAGAATCTCAAGTAGACTCCTCATTGAGAGTGGAGCCTGATGCAGAGCTCGGTCTCACAACCCTGAGATCATGACCTGAGCTGAAACCGAGAGTTGGACGCTTAACTGACTGAGCCACTCAGGTGTCCCTCTATGTTTCTTTTCAATCTTTATTTTAAAGTCCAATATATTCAATTTTACTCTATATTAGTCTTTATTTCTCCCACTTTTAACTGTTGGAAGATAACAAAAGTGAAGTTATTTTCTTTAGAAACCCAAATATTTATAATCAAATGAAATGGAAAGTTTAGTCTGCTTTGAAGAAAAAGCAGAGATCTAAAAAATCATTTTGTGTCAGTGATTTGAATAAATTATCTTGCCTTTATAAAAATTCAGGAGAAGCCTGTTGCAGCATAAACTCATTCTTTCATGAATTTGTATAAATACTGGCTCAAGCTTAGTTGGAGACAAAGTATCCTTGAGGGATAGCAGAGAGAGCCTTTCACTCCCTGGACTTCAGAGTCCAGATCTGTAAGGGCACAAAGTTGTGGGTCTTCTCTAGTTATACAAATGACATGGTCTCTGACAATCAATTACATGAAGTGAGATTATAAATAACCAAATCTTTGAGGCCAGAAGTGATATTTGAAGAGCTTTATAGTTTTATTTTTTTTATTTTTATTAAAGATTTTATTTATTTGACCAAGAGAGACACAGCGAGAGAGGGAACACAAGCAGGGGGAGTGGGAGAGGGAGAAGCAGCCTTCCCGCAGAGCAGGGAGCCCGATGTGGGGCTCGATCCCAGGACTCTGAGATCATGACCTGAGCCAAAGGCAGGCGCTTAACGACTGAGCCACCCAGGCGCCCCAAAGAGCTTTATAGTTTTAGTAGTATTTTCGATAGCATGGCAATTTTCCTGAAAAGGAGTGTTACTTCTCTAAATTATGTTTTCTAAATTATGTTTTCCCCAGGTAAATGTAGTCGTATGTGAACTGCATTTGAAGGAATGTCTGCCTACAGGGGAGACACCTCTACAGCATAGCAATTTATACTTATGCTTTGATGACTAACTAAAAAAAGAGCCCCTACATTATTTATTATAAATACAATGGCATCTATTATTTGTAATAGAGTGGGTTGAATTCGGGACACAGAAAAAAAAGTTTAATAATCAATAAAAGGCCTTAAGGCAACTTTGTTCCTTAGACGTAGCAAGGTCACAATGATGTTTAATTTAGATCTTTAAGATATGACTTTCTATTCTTGTGTCTCAAAAAAAGAGGAATTTTTTTGTAAGTAAAGATAATTTAAAACAGTTTCTTAGCTGGAAAGCTGATGGTCCTCTCTGTCAACTATTTTGGAATGCTTTGAGAATACAATTACTTACGTTTTAATCAGCTCATACTTTGATACTTTTAAGGAAGATACAAGAGAGTAGAAATTAAACCTCTTCACACAAAGAAGATAAATATGTTAGGCGAAGGATGTGTTAATTAACTAGATGGAGTTCTTTCACAATGAATACATATATCGTATCACCATGATGCACTTTAACTTTCTCACAATTTTATATGTCAATGATGCCTCAGGAAAGCTGAAATTAAAAAAGATTTCCTTCATTAGCTTAAAAATAGAATGAGATCTACTCTTTGAAGGGCAATTTGGCAGTAACTATCAAAATGAAAATTACATACCTACATGTATGTACATGTACGCATATATATCTGATTCTCTAATTTTCCTTTTCTCTTTTAGAAATTTACCTTTTGAAAATACTTTAACAAGTATGCAAAAATTTTCATTACAATATTTTTTGTCTATCAATAGGGGTTCAATTAGATAAACTGGTACATCACTTTTTTGAAATAGTGATCTATATTTACTGACTAGAAGATATATTCATTATATGTTGTTGGTTTTAAAAAAAATTAAGTTGTACTACAGTATACAAAATGTGACTCTGGTGGGTGGTGTGTGTGTGTGTGTAGCCACAGAAAAATTTCTGAATGAATATATGTGTACAATTTAACTGTGAGAAACGGGATTAGCATGGGGGACTTTTGATTTTCCCTTTACTTATCTGCCTTGCAGTAAGAATGTAATTTTCAGGAAAAAAAGAAGAAAAGCATTCAATTTATAGGTATTATAACGCAGAATGAAAAATTAAATGATCTCATTATAGGCTGATGAAAATGCTAAGAATATCAACACAGGCAATAGAAGTCATATTTTAATCAGGTATTCTTTGCCTACAAATATTGGCATAAGATACTCTAAAGCTCATGAAGCATTTCACATTACCTATGAAAATTTATTATATTTTCCAGAATATATTAAATCACCTAAAGTTGGCTACTTTAGGTGTGAGCTAAGATACAGGATAAAGCCTGGCTATGAGATCCCACACTTACCAAATTCATAAGATTTTTTTAATCTCTATGAATTCTCTGAGGTTAAGTAAGTTCATTCTATCCATAAGGTCTCTATTTGGGATAAATTCTCTGTTATTTAATAAGGGATGTGCCATAGGTAAAGAACCTTCCACATTCATTTATATTCATGAGGTTTATCTTGAGTATGAGCCCTGTGAGGTCTAGCAAGGTGTGTACTTCAGCTGAAGGCTTCTCTACCTTCATTTAGAGGTTTTTCCCTGCAGCATGACAGCTTAGGTGAAGGTAAAGGATGAACTCTATCTGAAAGCTTCCCTGCATGCACTGCATTTCAAAAATTCTTTTCTTCAATTGGTTCCCCTGTATTTCACTCAAATTCAATTTTGTTTTAGGTTTTTATTACATGCATTATGTTGATTTGCTCTCTTGTCGGAATAACATTAATAAAGAACATTGTCTTCAGAATGGGAGAAAGCACTCAGCTTTCTCACCAATAAGACAGAAATATGACCTAGACTGGAGGATGGTTAGAGAAAATAATGTTCTGCCTGGATAGGACAGCATGTCAATAAGTGTTAGCTTCCCCTACTCGCCCCCCGCAAAACATAGTGCTATCTTTGTTTTAAGTCGAAGAGGCGATTCAAATGAATTTCTGAATAATAATGAGTATTTTTATTTTTTCATACCAGAATTAGCAAAGCAGCAAGACTGGACAAAGGCACAGTCCCCATATGCAAGTACGACTACTTAATCTTTAAGCAAGGGGATACTGAGCTGAAAGAAAAATTGCACTTTATCTATAATCTGTGGATCTTTGGTACTATTCATGATTTTTGTCTATAATCTTCTGGGCTCTTCAATTTATTATTTGTGTTATCTGAACGGTCAAGTGGGTTTCGTTTTAATAAAAATGAACATGTTTATAAAAGAAAAAAAAAGATCCACTTAATACAATATTAACTCAGACTGCCAACCTATCTTCAGTTCACTTACCTTGAATTATAAGCTTAAATGAAATCCTTCTTTAGCTTTATAAGCATTTTTGTGAAAAGTATTCTACGTCAGAGGGAACACAGTTCTTCTGGGTAGGACAGAGGGAAGAATTTGTAGAAAATACAAGAAGATGCTCAAACTGTTCTGAAGAATTCTAAATAACTTTAAAGCCCATTTTTAATAAAAGCACCAACTTACACTGAAGGGGCTATAATGGAGATTGTTCTTGTTGGTTTATATGCAATTTTGGTTTTCAATGGTTATGTGTAATTCTTTGTTACAATTTCCCCGGGACAAGGAAGCCAATATAAAATTG